GGGTAAGGCCCCTTCCAACCCAAACCATTCTCTGAGTCCATGATTCTCTTTGTATCTTTACAAGACATGTGGGTGTATCTCTGTTTCCCTCCACAATTAACTAATTACCTGCATTCACATGACACACATCACCTGCCACACACAACATGAACGCAGAATTAACTTCTTCCTTTAGTGCCTGCAACAGAATTAAACCTCACCATAAGCAGGGCAGGCTTTAGTTATTAATCCTCCCATGAGCAACTGTAATTATTTTTGCTGGCACTAATTTCATTTGCATATGTTTTGTGGAGTTGCAAATCACAGTGAACCAGGAGGAGTTTTTGGGTGTTCAGTGAACTGGGCAGCGCTGCCGAGGCACAGGGAGTGTGCTGGGTAAAGGGCCAAGTTAAGGGAGGGAAAGAAGCAGCAATGCACTGACATCAACAGGCAAATTAACAGCTTGGGGGGGTCTGATCTCTCTGTGTGGGAGAAGTTTCTGGGACATGGTTGTCCTACAGGTGTCAGGAGTGAGTGAACTCGGCAGTGAAGGTCACAGGGTGGTTGGGCTGAACAAACACAGCCCGGGGTCTGCCTTCAAACCAAGAGAAACAGCCACAAAGCCCTCAGCTGCAGAGGGGAAATGAGTTTGACAGGACTTTGCCTCACACTGTGTGTACTCAGAGTTCTGTGGTGACAGGAACAAACTGCTGGACAAAGGCAGGACCAGAGGTTTCATCTGGGCTCCCATCACAATTTTTTAGAAAACTTCGGTCTGTGTCTCCTTGCTTTGTCCTGCAGGTTGTTGTGGCCTTGGCTGTCAGAATGTGGGGTTTTGTTGGCAATAATTCTTGTTCTAAGCCAAAAAAGCAAACACTGACCTAAGTAAGCTCAAATGGTTCTTCCTTTCCCCCTTCTTTCTCGACTTAGTTTTGGATGTTAAAATTCTCACTACCAGGTGGGTGGGACAACACAGGCTTGGAGCTTTCCTCATGTTGTGGTAGGAGAAGCAATTTTCATAATTTTTTTGGGATTTTCCTGGAGAATTATGAGACAACTGGTGAAGAGAGAGTTCAGGAAGGAGGCGTTTTGACTGTTTGTCCACCTTTGCCACTTAGGGCTGCAGAGCAAATAATCAGATTTTGTTTCCACTGCTCTGCATAGAAGAAATAATCAGAAATTATGAGAAACTTGTCACTTTGTCCCCTTCCTGTTCATCTACAGCTCTGTCTGAGCTCACTGTCAGGCCCTGAGGAGGATGAAGAGTTGATTGGGGTCATTAGAGCAGCACCTGCCATCTGCAGACTAAGGTAAGGGGCTCAGAAGTGTGAGAAATGGGTCTGACCCTCCCTTTCAGTGGCCCCCTGAGACTCATCTGACGCCTCTTCAGTTCTTCCTGATGCTCTTTATTTTTGACAATCAGTCTGAGCCCTGAGCTCAGTTTTTTTGTGCTCAGTGATGACCTAGAGGAGCCCTGAGGATCAAAAACGTGTGCTGAAAAACCTCCAAGTGGGGTTTACTATTGCAGTGCTCACAAAAGCTCTGCAAAGCAGCCAGTCAGCAGTGACACCGAGCCACTCTGACCTCAGCAATACTATTAAAATATGCATGTTAATGAGGAAAAAGTTGCCAAGAAATAGGGGGAGAGCAGCAATATCTCAAAGGCACAGCTGGAAGTTTCACAAAGCTTTTTTCTTGCTCAACAGGCAGAGTGAAATAAATTTGTTTTATTAATGGAAATCTGGTTTTCAGTAAGAGAGCCTGGAAGGCCGAGGGCAAGAAAAGGGATTGGTCAACTTAATTTCTTAATGCATAGCATTTAAAATTCATTCCTTTTTACAAATGTTTTGTATAACCCCAAATGTTACTTCATTTAGAGCTGCTGAAGCTGAGTCAGAAATAAGTTTCATCCTCAAAGACTTTGGTTCATGGAGTCACTAATATTCCACATGATTTGTGTTTAAATATGAGCTCTTCAGTGCTGTACTTTTAATACTGAACTCTTGATTTTCTATACCAGGTTTGTTGGTTTTTGTTTGTTTGTTTGTTTGTTTTCAGTTTCTTTAGTTACTTTTCCTCAAGTTACTGAAAACATTTAACTTACACGTGGTGTTTCTTTCTCTCTCCCTCAAAAAACTAAGGTTGCAAGTGAGAAAAAAAAATGCAATTTCATTTTTAATGCAAAGGGTCTAAAGGAAAAAATCCCAGTGCTCCCCTGGGAACACTGAAGTTCATTCAAACTTAAATATACAGTTGACTTCTATCTTGGTTTTTGTGTGATAAGCAGTGAAATGGGAAAAGAGATGTAGAAATAATGCAAGAAAGTTTCCAAAATTCCATATTCTTTTTAATAGTTATCAAATGGAAATAATTTCTACAGAGATTGGGAAAGGCCCCCTTGTCCTGGGAAGAAAAATTTTAAAGAAGAAACAGAAAAGAGTTGCTGGAGGTGCTGGTCTTATGATAATGAAAAGTTCCCCTCTTGCATTTCCAGCCCAACTCCTGCCTTTCTCAGCCCATCCTGGACATTCTCCAGTGGCCTCTTTCCTCTGCTTATTGTTCCCACTTTGATTTATCTTCAGCTCTGTGGGCAGCAGCTCAGTACAAATACCCAATAATTCTTCCTTTTTCCTGCAGAATCAGCAGGCAGGAGTAGCTCAGCCCTGGCTCCAGGAGAGCAGCAGCTGGAATGTTCCTCTGGGTGGATTGGAAGTGTGAGTGTGATCCCAGCAAGGATGGGAAGCCACTGCTAAATCCCCCAGTCTCCTGCTCTGCAGCAGTTTGGAGTGATGGTTGTTGGTTCTTGTCTCAGTGTCAGTGGGATGGAGGGGAACACTCTGAGAGCTTTGTTTGAGCTGTGACAAGGCAAATATAAATGTCACTTTTCACTGGACTTTTTCTGCACAAATCATCTTATGTGAGTTCCCCTGCCTGCCCTGGGATGACAATGATGCTGTCACTGTTCTCAGGGTGTGTTTTAGAACAATATTCTGCATAGAACCTCAAACACAACGTGAAATAATACAATAATGCTGATTTGAAACCTCTGTTAACAGCTGCTGTAATGAGGGTGATGCAGCAGGGATCCTTTGGTAGAAATTTTTCACCAAAAGGCTGGCCAGGCCTTGGCAGGGGCTGCCCAGGGAGGTTTGGAGTGCCCAGCCCTGGAGGTGTCCCAGGAAGGCCTGGCCATGGCACTCAGTGCTCTGGGCTGGGGGACAAGGTGGGGATGGGGCAGAGGGGGATCCATGGGCTGGGAGGGCTTTTCCAACCTCAGGGATTCTATGGAATCTTTGGTTTTCTGTGTCAGTCCAGTTGTACCACGCTGGGTCTGAGTTCGTCACGAGGTGACTTTGGGTTTATTTTCAACACAAGCTGTGCTGGAGTGATGGGAACTGAGCAAGAGCAGCATCAGGGATCAGGATCAGGCTGCCTTGGTCAGGCTCCTCATCCTCAGGGAGCAGAGCAGATGTCCCAGATGAAATGTGTGGTCCTGGGTTCAGTTCCTCCCCAGCACACGTTCCCTCTGGAGAGGACAGGTGGTATTCAACCATAAGCTTTGCTGGGTTCTTTTCTTTGGGAACAGCCCTGGAGGCAAACTGGGCATCTGCTGGCCAGGCCTGCATCCAGCAGCACCTGCTCTCCTCCCAAACCAGCTCCTTCCTCCAGGGAATTGCTGCTGCAGCTGCTGTGCTGCCAGGCTGAGGTGCTGACTCAGCTCTGCCCTCACCCGCTGCCTCCTCCAGAACCTTCCCACCAGTTCCAAAGTTTCACAAAAGAACCAGCAGAGCCCTAGTTAAAAATATGGAAATTTAAAGTGCTGGTGAGTGTCACCCTCACCCCAGAAGGAAGGGATTTTAAGGTTTAACTGGACTTCAGCTGCTCTTTGAAGAGGCCAAGGGTACCCCGTGGTTCAGGCCATGGGTTGGATGATCTGGGCATGGATCTATCTTGAAATTTTAGAAAATAATGCAAATTTCAATGGAAACGTATTTTTAGCTAAGAATATGTTCAAGCACATCTCTAAGTGTCTCCTCTGAATCAGGGCCTTGAAGAGTAACACTTTCAAAGGGGAAAAAACACTGATACTTGTTCTAGGAGAGGAACATTAAAATTGGAGAGTAGGTTGGATATCAAAGGGTTGTGTTGTTTGAAACCACAAAGTTACATACTTGTAACTGCTCTGTGGACAGTGGAAAGCACAAATGATCTGTTTGAAGAGGTTTTAATCATAACTTTATCCAGTTAATTTGCTCAAAGCAAAAGGTTTGACGTCTAGAGAAGCTTTGTTTTTTAATTAAATATCTCCTTTCTATATTGCTGCTCATTTAAAATGAGATTAGAACCACCTTATTTTTGTCCCAGAGCTCTAAATGGTTTCTAGAGCTTCTGCCTTTGAAGTATCTTGACATGGGTGAACCAACTAAAGCACAATTAACCCATTTGTTTGAGTGGTTCAAACACAGAATTGGTGTGGGACTCCAGTGTTTGGGTGAGAGCAGCTGGTGACTCCAAGGAAAAAGGGGAGAGGAGGGTTGGGCAAGTGAAAATAAAGGAGAGGAATATTGTGCATTAAAGTCTTCATTAATTTCAGGGATTAAATTCTTCTAATGGTTGGCTGTTGGCACTCATATTTTTGTCTGCTCCTGAGAAAACACCCAGTGATCCTGCTGCTCTTGTCTGGATGTTGGACTGTAGAAGTGATGTTACACATTTAATACCCCAGAGCTGTTTGCTAAGTGGAGAGTTGTTCTCAGGCTGAGAAATTAATAGCAAACTCTCCCTGACAGAAGAGCCAGATATCCATCCCACAGCAATTGTTTCCAGAATTGGCAAATAAAATTAAAGCCCTTTCCTTCTTCATTTGTTTATTCTGTTAAAGTCTTTATTTATAACGTTTTCTGTTTAGATTTGAAACCTCAGTCCTATGTTCTGTTACACACATATTTACACATGAAACAAAATGTGACTGGAGACAAGAATGGAGATTATCACAAAGAGAAATGATTGCTTTCAAAAATATCTCAAGTTGTACCCCATTTTCTTGTGTAGAAACTGATTTTTGCTCCTCAGGATCACTGGCAGACAAGGAGACCCCTCAGCCAGGGACTGGGTTGCTTTTAAAGAGGCTGAAAATGAACAATTAACGTAAGTTAATTTTTTTCATTTTTTACTCTTCAGTGACAGATGTATTTGTTTAATTCTTGCACTGAAATAACAGGTATATGAGCTTTCCTAGGTTTTTGCAGGAGTCAGCTCTTGAAGCCATTTTAATTAACATTTCTTTGTCTAAAAAGTGCAAAAGCCTGTAAGCATCTGTCAAAGCTAAACTACCTTTCTTATTTTCTTAACTAGAGGCATAGAGGTGACAGGCAGAACCTGCATTTTCTTACTTGGGTGATCTAATCCACCAGGAATTTGAATTTAGCTGGCATACAGATGGCACACAGAGCCTGCTCTTACCTTACACAGTAGTTTTTCTCCCTCTCTTTCTGTGGAAGGGAAAAGCCAAGCAAGTGCCAGGTTGGTTTTGTTGCTATTTCCCTCAAGTGAGAGCAGCCTCTGGTTCCTCCAGGTGAAATATTCATCTATCAAAGCAGAGAAAATGAATTTTCCTTCTTAACATTTAGAATTTAATCTGGGGTTAAAGGTAGACTTTCATCTCTGTAGGGCTGGAGGTGTGGGAGCATGACCTGGACAGAAGTTTCAGTGTCCTCTGGTGGAAATTCTTTGGGGATGTCCAGGATCAGGTGGCTTGGCCACATCTGAACGTGCTGCCTTCACCTGCTCTGGCCCCTTGAGCATAAATTGGTGATGGTTTCAGCCCAAAATAAAGGGGTTTCTAATGCTGGGGTGGAACTGCACCATCCAACTCCCCTTGTCCTGTGCACACCCCCAGTGTGAACAAATATGAGGGGTTTGTAAATATTTCACTGAAATATTTCTCTGCTGATGGCCAAATTTCGACTTCATCACAGGGAAAATCACGGTCTTTATGTGGCAGCAGCAAAGAAAATAAGCAGAACTTTATATTACTAAACTGAGAAAATTAGATCTGAAAATCCTAGAAATGCTCCGGACACTCCACAAATCCAGGGCACCGTTTCTATATTTTTCTGGTTGTTGCTGCACTTTCAGATGCTCTCATTTCACAAGTCAAAATTGGTGATGAGGAGATTATGGGGTTTCCTCCCACCTGTGGTTATTAGAAAGAGCAGATGCTGGCAATTCTGGAAATAGAATTCTAGATTGGAATTTGGAATTCTTTTACTTGCACATTTCTGAGAAATTAAATAAATGTGATTCCTAATGATCTAAGTTATTAGAGAGAAAAATAAAGCTTTAAGGAATCTGGCCCCAAGACTATGTCCTATTAATTGCAAATGTAAAATAATATCTCTGATGACAATGGAATAGTGCACAATAATTACAGTGGCCCAAGAGAAGAAATTACTGTGAAGTCTCCAGCTATCAAACAGCTCCAACCTTTTTTAATATCACAGAAATGCTTATACTTCATTCAAGAAAAGCAAAATATACCCCAAGGTGGTCTAATTTCACATCCCAGAAAGCACAGTTTTTCTTTCCGTGTATGCAAATCACATTTTTATTACAGTGAAGAGAAATGGGTATTTTACTTTTTTCCTTTGAGCTCACTGGAAAACCAGTGGCTGTAATTGCATATGCAATTGCAGTAATTGCACATGCAAATGAGGGATTATTCTCACAGTTATAAAACTTCTGTGGGCAGGTACAATGTACTCCTCCAGTGCTTAGCACCTAATTGTATGTGTATTTTGCACCAAGGAGGATTCTCTGCTGCATCCGCCTCCTTATTTATTTTGGAACACCAGCGTTACCTAAACATGAAATATCCTTTACACAGCCAGCAATAAAAATAATGGCTTGCCCATAATAGTCAGGGCTGTGAATACATTATTTCTAAACTGTGCTGCCTTTTACTTTATGGGGAGTGAAATAAACCCTCACTGAAGATAAAACCTCATTTCAGCTCCAGTCACTTCCCAGCGCTCGGCACCGCCCGGAATGTTTTCCAGTTCTGAAGGCTGTGGAAGGGGAAGGTGGCAGGCAATTGTTCCCAGCATCCTTTCAAACCTGCTGTTGCTAATGATAAAATCCGAAATGTAATAACTTCTCCTTTCACTCTTTCCCTTTCAGTTCTCTTGGTGCCAAGGGACGTGGTCGCTGCTCCGTTGTCAATGTTTGTGTGGATGAGGGAACATCGTCGGGATATTTGGCAGCCAAGGTAATTTATAATCCTGCTTCCAAGCTGCTGGAAGTCAGGATGGAGCTGTGCACACTCAAGTAATTTCTTGTGGCTGACTAGTACCTTTTTCACTTGTTTTCTCTGCTCTTTCCCCCCTCTGACTGCAGTGGAGGGTACATTTCAATGGTGTCAGGCTTTCAAGGGAGCTGGTAGAGCCAGACCAAGGTAAGATAGGCTGAATACATTTAATTTATTACTTTTATTGTCTTCTGTATTCTAGAGTAGGAGTTCTCACAAGCTCCGTATTGGCTGTTAAAGAAAACTTTGAATTTATGAGGCAAATAAAATCTTGGATTGGAATATCCTTGTTGGTAAAATCCAGCAGCACTGTAGAAAGAAAAGAAAAATTCCAGGCTCTGGGCCCTGCAGTGACACCCTACCTGATACTGGAGGGGGTCAAGCAAGTTGCCTGTTCATGTTTAAATTATACAGTTCAAAACACAGAGAAGTGTTTATAACACAAATGGATAAAACCCATGTTTTGCAGGAAGTGCAGATTTTTAAAGGGGAAATCAATCCAGCCCCTGTGGCACAGAGCTGTTGCCGTGTCAGAATTCCTGGTGTGGTCCCACAGACAGCTCCTGGGTGACCTGCAGTGGCACCTCCTCACAGAGCCTGAGCTGCTGCTCCAGGAACATTGATCTGCCAAACACAAACCTGAGCCTTGTATTAAAACCAATCCCCCATGTGGTGGCAGCCTTTTGAAAGAGATGGGGAACAAACTCCTTCCGTGGAATGTTTGTTTTAATGTGGTCAGAAAGGAAAACAGATCATGTGGAACAGCTCCTCCTAATTCCACGGGGAAAAATGGGCATCTCCAAAGCACCTCCACAGGAACCGAGAGAGAGAGATGTTTCCTATTCCCTTGCTAACAGGATTATTTCAATTCTCGACCTTATATCAAGGCATGACTGGTTTTAATAATTCCATCATTTATCAAGTGCTTATAATAGTCACTCTCTTAGATAAATATCATTTATATCTTGAGATAATATTATTTTATATCTTCACAGTCCCAAACCACATTTTAGGCTAAAAAAAGAGGTGACATTTCAAACAGGCAGTGCAAATTGATGACATTTTAATGTGCTGAGAGATGTAAGGACACAAACCCATAAATAAATGACCAAAATCAAACAAACACGTCTGCACACACAGATATAAAAAATATAAACTTCGTTAGGCCAGGTGAAGGCTTTCTGTGTGGTTCCCTCTGGAGAGCCACCAATATAACTGAATATGATAAATATAGGTCTCAGTATAATAAACAGAAGTCCCACCTCAGTTAGGAGTGGTGTTGGTGGTGCCTCAGCATGGGCTACACAGGGACTGTTGGAAGAGTTTGTTCCTCTTCTCAGAGCCATTTCTGCTTGTATTCAGCAAATTCCAAAATGAGGTGATCAGCAGAGTCCTGCTTGTTCCCAGCAGCTTTTCAGGAGCCGTGAGAGCTGTGTTGGCAGCTCCCTCCTCTCTGCTGGGCCCGGCAGGGGAGCTGTGGGGAGGAGGTGGATCTGTGGGGAGGAGGTAGATCTGTGCCCTGAGAGGAACAGGGAAAAATCTATTTGCCGAAGATTTAAGTTCTGTAAATCAGGGCCGTGAACTGTAAAGCACACCAGGGAAATTGGGGCTAATTCCTTTAACTGCCCATTAGACTTTGCTCCTTCCTGCTCCGAGAGGCTGATTGCTGAAGAAAAGCTGTTTCCCGGGGAAGCTCTGCCATTACTGAATGTTTTGGTGGTTTCCAGAGGCCTGTTAGGCTGCACCACTTGGGTGGAGAAGAGGTTTCAGTTTGCTTTGAAGTGACTCAGTGCAAGGAGGACTTTTTTTCCTTTCTCCTTTGTTTAAGGGGTGCTGCTCACCAGACTCACTGGGCTCAGATGAGCAGAGACGTTGGGAGGCAGGGAGAGGCCCAACACCCCAGCACAGTGACACTGTTTGCCTTGGAGCTGTGGCAGGGAAGAGGAGCCTTTCTGCACTATGTCATCCAAGGAAAAAATCAGGAGATTTTTTTGAAGGCAGGTTCAGAATTGTGGTGTTTAGACAGTGTTTCGTCTCTCTTGCTGCTACCAGTGAGGCTGTGCTGCCCTGAAATGACCCCTTCCTGCAATATTTTGTCCCCCAGTAAAAATAAGAGAGAGAGAAGAGCTCTGGTGATAAACAGGCTTGAGGAGCACTGATGGCATCTGCAGTGTCAGCTCCTGTTCTCGAACCCAACCACCACCCCTGAACCCTGGTTCCTGCAGGAGAAAGGGGCTGTTTTCCCAAGAGGAGCTGTGAAGGCAGGGAGAGGACACAGAATCATAGACAAGGATTCAAGAAAGATGGAGAGGGAATTTTTACAAGAGCCTGTGGTGACAGGACAAGGGGGAATGGCTTCAAACTGACAGAGAGTAGGTTTAGAGGGGACATTGGGAAGAAATTCTTCCCTGTGAGGGTGGGGAGGCCCTGGCACAGGTTGCCCAGAGAAGCTGTGGCTGCCCCTGGATCCCTGGAAGTGTCCAAGGCCAGGTTGGATGGGGCTTGGAGCAACCTGGGCTAGTGGAAGGTGTCCCTGGCCATGGCAGGAGGTGGGATTGGATGGGCTTTGAGGTCCCTCCCAACCCAAACCATTCTATGATTCCATGAATATCCTGAGTTGGAAGGGACCCACAGGGATCATCAAGTCCAACTCCTGACCCTGCACAGGACTCCAATGATGCTTCTCTCATGGGCTCCCCACCCATATAATGTTTCTTGTACTGGGCCCCTCAGCCCCTTTTCCTGCTCAGCCCAAAGTCCCCTCCCTGCCCATGGGAAGAGGATGTGGCTTTTTGGCTTCTCTCCACGCTTGGCTCATGTAAATGCAGTGTCTCTGTGCTGACTAACGGCCCTGAGAGTCACAGCCTGCTTATTGGTTTAGAAATAAAGATATTACTATGCAAATGGCTCTGGAAGGTGTTTCTTCTCATTAAGAGGATGGAGATCACTTGATGAAAGATGCAGTGTGCTTCATCTGTAAAAAGGCTCAGCAAATCTGTCCTGTCTCCACAGCACCGAGCAACGAGAGCGATCGGGCAACGCGGCGAGGAGACAAATGGTTTGTGACACCCGGGTTACCTTTGCCGGGCAAGGTGGGCGTGAAATTTTTTATGGGGAGACAAAAAAGATGATGGGCAATTAACTACAAACTCATGCAGCAGGTTTATCATATGCTCAGCTCATCCATCTGTGTCTCAGTCTCCGGCAGACTCGGGAGTTTCATCAAGAAAACCATTTTGGAGCCGGCAGAGCAAAACAGATCATTCTCGCCTGCGAGCCCCGCCGAGGCTCTGCAGAGCTTTTGTCTTGTGGTTGTGGTTTACGTGCAGGAGAAAAGAGGGATCCAAACGCTTTTCCCCTCGCAGGATACGTGTTTGAGAATAATTCTTGTTCGGGGACCAATCTGCAGGTACTTGTGTGCGTGTGAACAGCTTTATTCGCCTTAATTCAATGAAATCCTTTGGGTGAGATGGTAAACGTGGTGTAACTGCATTTACAGCCCAGCCTCTGTCCTGCCATGACTCGGAGAGGGTAGTTCAGGGAATTGGGAGAGGAAGGATGAGCTTGTGGTTAAAAGCACTGAATTGGTCCAGAAAATATTGGTGCTGGTTTTGTCTCTTCCTTTGTGTGTGACCTTGGAGGAATCCCTTGGTCTGGTTGAAACTTCAGCCTGTGAAGTCACAGAATCCCAGACTGGCTTGGATTGGAAGTCACCTCAAAGCCCATCCAGTGCCACCCCCTGCCATGGGCAGGGACACCTTCCACTGGCCCAGGTTGCTCCAGCCTGGCCTTGGACACTTCCAGGGATCCAGGGGCAGCCACAGCTTCTCTGGGCAACCTGTGCCAGGGCTTCCCCACCCTCACTGGGGAGAATTCCTTCCCAATATCCCCTCTAAACCTGCTCTCCTTCAGTTTGAAGCCATTCCCCCTTGTCCTGTCTCTCCACGCTCTTGTAAAATTTCTCTCTCCATTTTTTTGTAGTCTCCCTTCAGGTCAGGATAGTTGTTGGGTTTTATCTGTTTGTGCCAAATCAGTTAATATTTAACTATTTCCCTTCACAATTTATGCTAATGAATATCTTACTGAAGACATTTAAGTACTAATTTTATATAAATAATATTTTCCTTAACTAATTATTTTGGTGCAGCATTGCCAGATTTGGTGAAACAGATTTTCAACATCAAAGGTAATTATTTTTATCCTTTGAATCTTCAAGGGCTCTTTTTCAGTCTCTAAATGTAACTGCTCCACAAAGAGCCCACAGTTCTTCCCTGGAGACCACACTGGGGAGGAATCAATAAAGTTGGAGCTCTGGGACTAATCAGTTAAACTGCCACAAAGACCTGGATGTGTCTTTCCCTTTCACCCTGGATTAGGGGAGGGTGCTGAGTGAGGTCACATGGGAATAATTCTAATTAGTTTTATAGAAAATTAAGCAAAACAGGTCCCTGAGTCTGCCACAGGGTCACTGGTCCTGGGGAACAAGCACCTCCCTAGGGAAAAGATGCACTTCCACGTGTAATTTTCCATGCCATGAGCATCACTTGAACAAAGCAGTGTCCTAATTTGTCATTACTTTGCCACGTATGTTTTTATTGCTTTAGGGTAACACTGGTGGTGTAACAGTAACACTGCAGCTCTGAGCCAGGGAAATGCTGGGTTTGAATTCTCTCCCTCGCCACTCGCTGCCGCTGAAGGAAGTGAACTCCTGAAGAAAGATATTGGCCTTGTGGACCTTCCTGACAGTCCATAAATCGGGGTTCTGTCAGTCCAGAGAGGTGCCATAAAGAGAGCAGATTAAAAGAGATTAGTTCTGCCAAGTGGCCTGAGGAGAGAATTTATGTCTCCCCTCCACCTGCCCGGCAGAGCTGCAGGAAACCTGAGCTCCAGAGGTCGGGAGAATCCTCCTGCTCCCTTCTCAGGGCTTCACATCCCAGCCAAAATGGAATTTGAATTTCCCTGTGGTTTGTTTGCCTATGGAGGAACTAGTCTAGAGAGAACAAGTTCATCTCAAAGTGTATATTTTACTCCATAGGACATTTGCTCGCTCCGGAGATTGAATATTCTGCCTCCACTTGATTCACTGAAGAAAATGAAATGCAAAATAAGCAGGGGGAGAAGAGCTGTAGTGGTATGATATATGATGTATTTGTTAATGTGCATCATGCACATGTTCCAGAGCTTTCAAATGGGCCCTAAAATTTATCTCACTGCTGAAGTCAATGCTCCTTCACTCATAAGCAGTAACATGTGCAGAGCCAGGGACACAAAATAAGGTATGTGGGTTAACTCCAGCCACAAAGGTCTGTCTGCAGGTAGAAATCCTGGCATTCCCATGCCAAAGCAGTGGGGCAGGGCTGGGGTTTTATTTGCACAGCACACTGCACGTGGGCACTGCTGTGACCCTGAATTCTCAGTAAAACTGGGAAGAGTCATTTTTATCTTGTCTCAGGGAAGGGTCACATGCCCAGTAACACCAGTCTGAGGAACTGGTGTCTATTTAAAAGGGTTTTCTGGAGCTGCCTCACGCTGCTTCAAAGCATTATTCTTTGTTTAATATTCAAAATAAGCAGTCAACCCAATCTCAAGTGGTCAAGTGATTATATTTTCAAGTAATTAATTGCTGGTTAATTGTCTTGCAGGTTACTATCCTGTATGATAACATTCGTGGAAATTTTGCTTGCTGTAATGAGCTAATGAATTTTTGTCGGTGTTTGTGTTAGGACTGAACAATCCTAAGGCTACTGCACAGCTCCTGCCTGGTGTACAAATCTCCAAGAGGTGCTCATCAATTTTTTAAAAGCACGAGCTGGCATTGGTTCAGTGAAAGAACTGAATTTAATGAAAATCATGAAATGAATATTTGGGAAGTTTAATTAAAATAACTGCTGATATGAAGTGCTAAGGGATAAGATCTGTACAAAATAACAATAATAATAATAGTAAAAAAAAAATTAGAAGTCTATAAACCAACCTTTTTTTTTGAAGCAGTTGTCCCTGAAAAATGAGGCTTGCCCATCAAAATTCTGAATTTTAAAATGTGAATGGCACAGTACACATTTTGTCTATGTGAAATATTTTACTGTGATCCCAAGTTCTTAGTAGGACTCTGTGTGCTACTTGTGGAAAGCACAATATTCTATACTGGTTGTAAAATAAATTGTGGGATTGACCAGGTCTCCAAGACTAAAATGACTTCAGTAACTGAGTGATGCAACCACTCTGAGCCTGTTTGAGAGGCCACCAGTTCCATCCTGCCCAAACTTCCATGCAGAGTTTGTGTATAGCAGGTGCTCAGGGGTCACATCTCTGTGGATATCCCTGTTCTATCCTAAGGTTATTTATCACAGTG